ATTTTACCTCCCCACTCCAAATTATTGGCAGATTTTATCCAAAAGTCAAAAGTATTCATTTTAAAGTGTTCACTGCAAAAATATCTCCAAAAGAAGTTTGATACCAAACTCTTTCAACCTGATCATGCAGCCTCCTGCGCTTCATCAGGCTTTTGATTGTCGCAAAACGTTTGTTTCCAATTTCCTGATCATTAATTAAAAGTACCCGCGCAACTTTTAATGGGGTTAGCGCCACCTAACTCCCCACACACTACCCCTGATTATTCAAGTATGACGAGTTTCAGTACGTGCCTGGTTGAGCAGCCCTGCAGAATGGGTTTGTTGAAAGTCCATGGGCCAGAAGAGATATCGGTACCACCAGAGGTGGCAAATTCTCATCATGGTTTTTGAAAAGTAGAGTGTCTGTGGAATATTTTATGATATGATAGCCGTTGCACATTACACTTTTTTATCAATTTTTACAAAGAAATCGAATTATAAAGGCTCATAACTTCTAATTTAAACGACATATCTAAACAACAAAATTAATATTTTTTGTAATCCTTTAGTTCCTGTTTTATCAGTCCATGAAGTTACATTGAAAAATATCCATATTTGATTATTTACCACTCCCATTTGCATTATTAGTGCAAAAGGACATGGTCCATCTGAGGTGAAAGTTCAAGGTCAGATAGCAAGGTCAAAGCTACTTATGTGCAATAAAAGGAGTTTGATGTGATTATATCCTGGAAACCAAGCAAAAGACATAACCTTACAGCAGTAAAGGATATGGGCAACACATTGAGTTACAAGGAGTCTTATCACTGCATGCTATATGACTACTTATTCATGTCGTAAATTTTTCGACCCTTGTAGGTTCTGCACTTGTAAATCTGTGAAAATGATTGGGATTTTCTCATCATGGAGTTAACTGTTTGAACTTGTGAGGTGTAAAATTTACGCAATTTTCTTACCCTTAAAGGGTTTGCACTTGTAAATGACGCCTTGTGAGAAAATGTTTGAGATCAAATATTTTTTCGAGGTTTTGACTTGTAAATGGCTAGAATGCTATCCAAGCTAGAAAATGATTGGGATTTTCTCATCACGGAGTTAACGTTTGAACTTGTGAGCTGCTGTAAAATTAAAGGCACCCAGTGCAGTTTCTAGGGCTAATGGAAACCCGATTTTTCAAAGTCAACGTTCTAGTTGTTTATCTACATACTGAGTTGAAACCACACTGTCCCGATGTATGTTGACCCTCTTAGAGCAAAAATTCCCAACATTCTGACGGAAAATGGTTACTGGAAGGGCCCTTGGCTGATTTTTTTGGGTACCACCCAGAAAATAAAGGACTCATCTTGGGGCTTGTTTCTGCAGTTCTAAAAGCCCAAGGTACAAAATACTGACTCAAATGTGCTAATGTAAAGCAGTATGTGTAAATATGACAAAGATTGCCTTATTCAGAATATTTCCATTTTTGCTGCCATGAAATCGCATTGGATTCCTTTAACGCGATGCTGAAAGTTTGTCCTCCTGTAGTGGCCCCCTGAAGTATGTTACAGATGAAATCACGACATTTCCTGGCAGTTAGCAGCGCGATGCAGCCCCGAGCCGTGTCTGCAGTTTAACTGCAACTGATGATGTAATCAGGACAACGTAATAGGCTGGTGGAATTGGTTAACGGAAAAACGTTGAGATTTTTTCTGTATCTAAGCTAGGTGCCTACCGTGGGAGCAATTGGCAGCCCTGGCATCATCACTAGAAAGCTTTAAACAACTCTTGCAATTAAATGTGCAAAGATTGGGTGTAACAAGTCAGAGTTATCGACCAAGAATTGAGGTGTTCAAAAACTCGTATTTCCCCAGAACTATCGTAGAGTGGAACTCGTTGCCACCAAGCAAAGTTGGGGCATCATCACTAGAAAGTTTAAACAACTCCTGCGACTAAATGTGCAAAGGTTGGGTGTTACTAGTCGTTCGGTGTGATATAGCTAGCTGCCGCCGCCCCGCGTGCCTGCGAAGCTGGTGTGTTACGCCGAAGGGCGGTTATTCCTGCTATACAGATACAGAAGCTGGTGTGTTACGCCGAAAGGCGGTTATACCGGCTATACAGATACAGAAGCTGGTGTGTTACGCCGAAGGGCGGTTATACCGGCTATACAGATACAGAAGCTGGTGTGTTACACCAAAGGGCGGTTATACCGGCTATACAGATACAGAAGCTGGTGTGTTACGCCGAAGGGCGGTTATACCGGCTATACCAATAAAGATATACATGTAGATGAACACAACGATACATGTACAGTATACTGATGATAGGAACATCATAAATGTTCATACGAATAGCCTCAACATATATCGAAGGCAAGTTATTAATGGCAATATGTAGTCTCTTCACGGAGGCAGCTTTTTCACAAGCCTCGACACCTCGAGTCTGGGTTTTATGAAATTCATGGGCATAACCTTTATTAGCCTCATAACTGCAAGAACAAAATATGAGTAACTCGTAAAGAATGTTAATATTTCATATAACAAGTGTTCTTGTCAATAAAGTGCCGTAAAACACGTGTACAACGTCATTGGATAATTCGTAAACGTTTTTATCAGTGGTATGAGGAAGGGTTTTATTTCGATGGGAGGATATACCCGCATACAGGTCCCTCGTTATGTAGAAAATCATCAAATGGGCGACGTCCAAACTTTTATTTAGACCAGTTTGTGACTTTGTGGGTTGCCGTTGACGAGTTCCCAATATTAAATGAATGATGAGTTCTGGAATCTGGTCGTAAGGTCTGGAAGGAACGGTTTGCACTTTGAAAATAATTGCCCGAGTTTTTACCACGGGTGCGATTAGCGCGGCAAACGTGTGTGAAGGTCGGGAACTCGTTATTACTGTAGCTACCGGCGTTGCCTTTACGGGTTCCACCGGGACGTTTTGTCTTGCAGTAATGGGAAAATCGGCCCCGAGTTAGGTAAGGGTGACGGGGCAGGCATGGACGCATCTGTGCACATACCGGCAATTATGAACAGTTGTGAGGCACGCCTGTTGTACAGGAAAGGTCGTTAGGAAGTAGTTTGCTCGGGAAATTTAATGGAAAGGAAAGTGAGGAAATGGGCCCGGTTTATCAGATGGTGGGGGCTGTAGCCTACAGAACTGTGTTCCTGTGCATACGGTGATAAGGCAAAGTGTGCTGTAAATACGTGATACTTTTCACTTCATTACATTTTCCACGTCTTGTATTTTTATGTGGTAATGTGCCCTTTCTAACGACGATAAGTGTTGGTAGTTTGTGATTTTTGCAACTTGAAATAACCACAATGCAATTAGTGAAAACAAGTGGGAAGGTGACTTACAAAAAGTTCGAACATACATGGCCTCATAGATAAAGAGCCATTCAAGGTACTTGATACACCTCTTAAAATAAATGTACATGAGCTGTACACTTCTGTATGAGTAACTAGTTTGGGGTTTGTCTGAAGTTATGCACACAAACCGAGAAAATAGCTTCTTTCTAGCTTGGCAAGCTTGGTTGTAACCAGCCAAACAAAAAATAAACAGCATGATAACCTACCGATATTTCCGTAGTCTGCTACCCTCTTTGGTGCTATAACGACAGAAAACGTATCAAAGCATTGGCAGATTAGAAGAAGAAGTTGGTTATGCACAGGAAAAGTCCATTGAAGTCACATGATTTGATCCAAACAAGTGTGACAGACTATCCTAAACTCACGTTTGGCATCCGTTTAGCTGTCTAGAAACTGTCCTTGTCAATTCATCAAATAAACAACCAAAACCTTACCTGTTGGGTAGTTTCTAGTAGGTAGTTTCAGCCATCTTCGTCTTGAAGTTGAGTCAATGACAGAGAATAACATCCGGTCAGGTCAATTTTACTGACCTTGCGGAAGATACCATCTTGCCTCGGATAGGGCCCAGGTGCACTCAGCTACTACATGTTACATTGTACTGTAACTTTGGGGGATTGAATGGGGATAGCGTAATATAGATACATGTACATGAATGTATAGGAGCGTTACATCATTGTATATGAGTATATGATATGAATAAAAGAAAATAATTTACTAATTTCACCCCCTTTCTAAATGGACGGTCCCATGACCCTACCTGATTACCACGTGAGTCGAAATAGATGAGCTAACCAAGGTCGCCACAGGTCAACGTCAGTACACTAGTGCTGGTCCTTCGCAGTTCTATTGATGAAGAACAGATGGTTAAGAGTTTTGTGAACAATGATGGTTTTCTCATAGATGTAGACACAAGTACAGTATTTTTTTCAGTGAGCTCTGTAATGAATGAAAGTTTATTACAAATACATGCCAGAGGGCTAATTGCAAATAAAAACAACTTTTATGAAAAAGAAAAAACAATGATATGGAAGACTATGTACAAAGTTATACTACATTCTACAACATACATGGTTCTAATTTTCTAATATTTGTAATACTTTTTCATTGTTGTGATTTGTATTGATTATCCTGTGATACCCTGCATCAATTTAGCCGTTAAAGGCTGCAACTGCACTGGTACTGTTTGGACAATAAAAAAATTCTAACTTGTAATACTTCTTGAGATCTGGTGAAACCTATCTGTAGAAAAAAGATTAGCTTGCCGAAGCCGTCGAGGATTCATTTCATAACATCGATCAGCACATTGTGATGATTCCAATGTTCTTTAACAGACCGGGGGACAATATCAATCGATCTTTTTGTTGCTTTTCTTTGAAAGTTTGACATAACTAGGTTACTTCTTTATGGATACTTTTAACAGTTCTCCAAAAATCACTTACCCGACTTTTTTTTTACTGACTCACTCGATCTTCTTTAGCTACTTGACCCAATGGCTCGGGATACGTGATTTCATGTGCATGTCAAGTAAGCATTTATAGTTTTATGTTAACACAACCCAATTTACCAACTACAATGAATGAAGTTTCTTGATAGGTTTCTTCTTGATCAACGTGTACATTAACGTTGTACATTGTTTTGTTTTGTTTGTTCATACAGTGAGCCAAGCGAACGGCCGGATAGGACTTACTTTACCAGAAAGGGTCAACACGATCCTAAACGACCCCGTGACCTTGACCGCGACCTTCGAGACGAACCGACGTCTTCTGTACCTCTCATGGGTCAAGGTCGACCCCAAGGACGCCTTGAAGAGGGTCCCTGTCTTCACCTACCACACGGCGAGCGGCTCAGAGGCTTATGGATACTACGAGGGGCGCGTGGAGCTTGTCGGGAAGGCGTCCTTGAAGATCGAACCAACCAAGATGGAGGACGAGGGGCAGTACATGCTCAACGTCATGATAGAGGGGCTGGGGAACGAGGAGCAGGTCACGCAACTCAACATCATGGGTACGAGATTTCTTTAGTATTCTTAGGTAGAAAATGCTAATAATACCTAATCAAGTACAAGTACGAGTATTGTCATGAAGGTAAATACTAAGTAGCCCACTGGGTCAGTCAACTGAGGAAGACCAGAGTGACTGGTCGAAAGCTCTAGAGAACTTTTTTGACTTGAGTTTTAACTTTAAACAAGTACAAGTATTCTTAGGCTGATTGCCAATTTAAAGTCTCTTGGAGGGAAACAAAGAGATATTATTGCTATCAGTTTACCATAAGACGGGATTCCTTCAATATTGAATATTTATGAGTAAAGACTCTTTCAGAGTGAAGACTTGCCAAATTTGTCTATTCCATCAAACATGCCAAAATATGTCTACTTCATCAAATACTTTACTATATGTATGTGTATACCACAAAATGTTATAAGCCTTACAGTCACAATTGTCTTACACGTTGCACTAGGACTGTGTGATTAACTTACATTTCAACTCAAATCACTTTCTGTGACAACATCTTCCCTGGGGATTTTTGGAACTTATTTGTAAATTAACCCCTTCCTACAGAGGGAAATTGTCTTACATATGAGAAACTTATCCTGTTAAAAAGTTGGATTGTTTGAGTTGAGGTTAATAGGTTTACTGTAAACGGTAATGGGTATTGTAATGGGTTTCCGAACGAACAACACTTCAAGTCATTAAGTTTACAGATATCTGAAGTTGCAGTGACGTTAATGAAAATTGTTAGAGCTTTGGTATAACACTCAAACATTTTTCAGGTTTGATTCAAACAAAAGGTTCTTCGATGAAGGTTAGACATCTAGATAATGCGATGCACAAGACAAACCGTTACTCAAGAGAAAGTATAGATTTTGAAAACGGTCAGACGTCTACGTATACCGTCTATCGTCGGTGAGGTTAAACAGTTACCCAAGCAACTGGACATGATTTTGGAATAGGCCAGACGTCTAAGGTAGCATCCACTACCTTTCGTAAGTGTCGTAACTGTTTTTGGCGAACCCTGCAACTGTCATCATCATCATCCACTGTGTTCTGCATCTACAGCCGTACGGAAACGTCCTATTCAGTCTGTCTTCATCTATTTCAACTGGGTCTTCTGTCTCGCGAGCTCTCTAAACTCCTTGAGTTTCTTTTCTGTTGTGGGAGGGCCTAGCCCTCTGCGCTTCATGTTTCCCTTCAGAGTGCTGAGCAGGTTGGTGCAGTGTCTCCCTTTGCGAGCTTTATATCTGCTGGAGCTTAGTCCAAAAAAACAGTTGAAAAAATAGTCGATGCCGACCAGCACCTTTCCCCGATCTCCTACCGTCCCTATCGGGGCGTGACCCTGTGTTAGTCAGTATCGCTGCCGCATCAGGCACAACCATTACTTAATATCCAGCAGACATTGATGGATGGGCCGGATAATGTACACAACATGCCGGCCAACAACACCCGCAGGCCTTTCGGGCTATCAGATACCATCTCTCATTTAGGAACCTACATTACCCTTACATGAGCGAGGTGGATCTGGAAGTTTCTCATCAATATGAATGTTAAGAGATACTGCATGGGAGCGGAAGTATTGTTTTGGGTGGCTCAACTGTGGGTTTGTGTGTCTGTCAGGCTATTAGATACCATTTCGTCTTCAGGTACTCTTATAGGAACCTACATTACCCTTACATGAGCTAATTGGTGGATCAGGCAGTTTCTCATCAATATGAATCTGAGGAGATATTGGGAGTGGACGTATTGTTTTAGGTGCCGCAGCTGTGTGTTTGTGTGTCTGTTTGGTAGGCTATCAGATACCATTTAGTCTCCACGTACTCTTATAGGAACTTGCCTTATCTTTACATGAGCGAGGCGGATCAGACAATTTCTCAGCAATATGAATCTAAAGAGAGGTTGCTACTTTCGTGAACGAAGGAACTGTTTGGGGTGGTTGAGAAGTGGGTTTGTGTATTTGCTTGTCCTGATGAAGTTGACAGCACGTGTGTGGGGAAGATTGACAGGTAGAAGCTGTACATGTTTCTTCTCTCTTCTTTAGACAGTTGTATACGAATTAACAAAGTTTTTCTAAGACATCATGGTTAACTAAACACATTATTATAACAAGAGTGTTTAATCTGGCATGACACGTGCACGACTATATCAAAAGAATGCCCTGAGTGTACAATCGCATGATGATCGTACGGCATACGTGACCAGGCCTTAACCTATGGCAAAAGAATGATCGTTCTCCAATGGTATCGAACTGCTCAGGTTTAGAGTGCAGGAAAGTAGGTCAATAGAGCACAAGTCGTTTCAGTTGATTTACCCTGAGAGTGCCATCTTCTCTTGCCCTTTGCCTTGGGGGTATGTTCGGGAATCTACTCCCCTAATGACAGATATCGGCGTAATCTGTTCTTCAATAAAAATACATTTGTCGTCTTCTGAAATTGCGAGGATGACCCGCTTGCAGTGGACAGGGTCGTCCATCAATGTCGGCAACAAGTGCGTAACGACGTGACACGAGGGGCGGCGGGGATGGAGAACTGATTGGTGCTGACAGTTGTAGCTGCAGGCCGGTGTTTCATCTGTATCTGTATAGCTGGTATGACCGCCTTTCGGCGTAACACACCAGCTTCGCAGGCACGCGGCGCGGCGGCAGCCGTCTACGTAATGCTTAGGTCACATTTGAAACGGCGCCCGTTCGGCATGTCCTCGGCGTAGACGCCGGCCGGCGTCATGACGCCGAGCGTGCGCCGTACTGTCAGGGTCACAATTAAATGTTCCCTTGCGGCTCCCTGTCGGGGCCTGCTTGTGCTCCGGCCGGCGGCTCTCATTAATATTCATAAACTTTTGCGGCCGGTTTCTGTCAGGGACCCGTCCGGTGCCCGGTCAGTCGCCCGTCTTGACCCGTGCGGCGTGTGGTAGGGTGCCGACCGGCTCTTACAGTTCGGCCGGGCAGCTGTCAGGTCCCTGGCGGGTTCCTGGCGGGATCCCGACGGGCTCCTCTCGTGTTTTTGAGCAGGTACATATATAAGCGCTGCACTGTCTGCTACCGTTCACTTCAAGTAAAGAGTACACGTCAAGTAAAGAGTAGACTGAAGTTGGCGATGCAGCGTTCAGTGCAACCTGCAAACAACTTACAAGCCCGTCTGAGATTGAGATTGGTGACAACCTACATGTAGGTCTTCTGGCATTGGTACGAGTAGCTGAAGAAGAGAGGTAGGCAGAACTGGTGCGTCGCAAAAGTAACCGAGGGCCTATACTTGCGAAAGTACTTCAACAGTGACGCAGGAAGTACTTCAGCAGTGACGCAGAAAGTGTGCCGTGGCAGCTCCTTGCTATTGAGCAATAAAACCACTGAATGTCGTTACTTCTGTTGAAATTTGGACTGAAAATAAATGCCAATAACTTCTGATTCCATTTTATTACGAAGGCATATGATGTAACAAGAGATAATGTCAGACACATTCTATTCCTGTTATGATCTGTTTTATGAAATTGGCAAGAGAGCCGTGCCGGCTGTTTTCCCTTGCCCTTCGACATTCTGACACACAAATACAAGGTGTAACACACACAAGTACACGATGTAACACACACGTGGTGAACTGTGCGACGTAGTCTGAGGCAGGAGTTTATATATGCTCCCTATAACCCCCTTTTCCTGACCATCTGATGCACTGATCAGCACATGTGACGTCATAATCTTAGGCAGGTGCCTGTTCGGCCGCCCGACGGGTCCCGGGCAGTGAGGTTACGGCGTCGCTTCGGCGTATTTCGCCGAACGGGGCCCGAAGTGTTTTTAACTCTGAGTTAAAATCGATTCGGCGACCGCGCGGGGCCAAAAATAGGCCGGCAGCCGTCGGGAAGCCCGCCGGTCTCCGTCCAGGTCCCGTTCGGTAGTGCCAAAAAACACGCCGAACAAGCGCCGAGCGGGCCCCTTTCTTGAATTGTGACCTAAGCATTACACCGCTCGACTTGTTACGCCTAACCCTTGAAACCTATCTAATGATAATGCCCCTACTGTACTTGGTGACAGTGAGTTCCACTCTGCGATAGTTCTAGGAAAGAATGAATTCTTGAACTCCTCAATCCTTGGTTGAAAACTCTGGTACTTAAAGGCGAGGCTATTTCTTGTTCTTGTCTGTTCGGGATGTAGAACCGATTGGTGCTGACAGGTTTAGCTGCAGGCCGCTGTTTCACCCACATTTACATCTGAGGGGAGACCAGATAATAGCTGATGTTTTTCTATCTGGAAGGCAAAATGTTGAGAAAATTGGCACCAGGGGAAAGAAATGGGCACTTAGGGAAGGAAAAATATCGACTCATTTGTTGATGGTAAGACAGTTTTGTTGGCTGTTTTGCTTCGAAGTGGGTAGCACACTGACTACATCTGCTGATGCTTGTGTTGTGCTTGGAAGGCAAGATGTGGGAAAATTGGCACCAGGGGAAAGAAATGGACCTTTCGGGAAGGAAAAATATCGACTTATTTGTTGATGGAAAGGAAGTTTTGTTGGCTTCTTTTCTTCAAAGTGGGTAGCATGCTGACTACATCTGCTGATGTTTTTGTATCTGGAAGGCAAGATGTTGAGAAAATTGGAACCAGGGGAAAGAAATTGACCTTTAGGGAAGGAAAAATATCGACTTATTTGTTGATGGAAGGAAAGTTTTGTTGGTTTCTTTGCTTCCCAGTGGGTAGCACGTTGACTACAGCTCGATGTATATTTCTTGTTCAATGCACTCCATTCAAACAGTGATTTTCGCAGGTGCTTTCAAGTCGTTTTCCCCAAGGCTAAGCGTTTTTACTGCGCACATTCACATACTCCGCACATAAAAAAGGCATCACTTCAAGGCTGTTGATGTTTGAATGGCAGTACGATCCATTGGATCTTATCTCTAGTGTTTCCGTATATAGAAAGATGTCGTTACATGATCCTCGCCAGCTTACAACAAAACATCGTGGTCTATCAATTTATCACAACTTCTTTTTCAAGTCATCTGTTTGAGATTTCTTCCTCTCATGTCATTAGT